CTGAAAGGACGGACACAGGCGAGAGCGTATCAGGAGATGGAGACCAACAAGACCTCCCTCATCCTTGGCCCTATCTCTGAGAATTTTTAGAAATAGTTGAAAAATTGAGCTTTCAATTCATTTAGTGGCATCTGGCTGTTTATTTTTTTAAAGGTTACTTTATATTTTTATACTTTAAGTAGTTTTTGGATCACATACTTTTTCACTTTAACTTGAGTAAAGAGGTCAAGTTGATACTTTAACTTTTACCAGAGTGTTTTTAAACTGCAATATCTATACTTCTACTTCAGTAATAAATGTGTTTACTTTTGGCATTACTGTATATAAAATGGTAAAAAGAGGGTAAATCCAGCAGACCATACTGATGCTAACTGGCCTGTCCCTGGTGGATCATCTGTTTACATGATGAAAGAAGGACAAAGTTCTTTAATGTAAATATCCTGCTAGCGTTTAGCTGATGCTAACCCTCTGATAACTATGGTGTTTTCCTGTTGCCTGCTCTGGTTGATAAAGTTAAATTCTCAGCTCTCTGAGCTTACTGGCTTAGTTTGTTGGCTTCTGTGTTATTTACAGACACACAATAGCTCAATAAATGCTGGATTAATCCTGGTTTTATCTTTTCTTGAAAGCTAAAAACCAAACATAACAGAATAATAAAAACTTGCAGTCACGCTCCTTTTCAGACGCACCCAGCTGGGCGGCATCATTAATGATGTGATTCCCCTCTGACATCGAGAAAGAATAACTACATAGCTGTCTCCAGCAGATAGCTGCCTTACTTTACTCAACAGGTTAATACCGGTAATCTATTGTTAATTTGAACTATTCAATTAAGAAACCTTTCTGGTAAAAATGAGAGGAAGGGGGAACTGGGTCACGGTATCGGATGCCTTCTCCCTCTCTCCTTTTTCTCCTTCATTCCTGTTCCTTTTTGAAACCCAGACTTTGGAGCACTTCATTTTGCAGTCGCAGACCTTTTTTACCAAACTACTGCCTATTTACACATTTCCTTGATAATTTGTTTCTTTCGTTGTCATTAGGTCAAATGGCCTGCGCGTGCCATTTAAGCCCCGGTACGAGCGAACTGCCGGAGACAGACAGGGAGACCTGATGCCATGAAGGACCAAACAATTTATTGCATTTTCACGGGAGGGGATGTCATTATATTCATGCTGTGTTTCATTGTGTACTGCTGAAAAATGGGGGGGAAACATGAAGAATTATTTTCCTGCTGGATTTTTTTTTTTATATTTGAAAAATAAAGTGGGACAAATCTTTTCTTCTTCTTTTGGGGCCCCCCTAAAGTAAGGGCCCTTAGAACCTTAGTCCTAACTTTCCCCAGTTTCGGCGCCCCTGATAGTGAATATAAACCCTGTATGTTTAGACAGGTGTAACTTTCTGAAGGACTGGGGTGGACATGTCCCCACCAAATTTGACCCGGTGGGGACATGTCCCCCACCAATAATCTCTCTCTTTTCCCCCCCCTTTCTGTTCATTTGCTTTAGCCAAAGGTAACAGAGGTTGAGTGCAGCTATCTGTGTTCAGAGCGTTTTGAGGCGTCGTTTTTATTTTTCCTCTCTCCTGCTGCTCTCGTGTCCCGTATCTCTGTGTAACGTCATCGGATCTGTCACTCTGAGACGTGTGATTTGCGGTCACATTTCACTGCGTACAAAGTAGCACCATGGTTGGAGGAGAGACACACAACAGCAATCAGTGAAAAAGTTAGTAAACGGGTAAGTTAGAAAAAATTAGAGATCATACCTCTGAAAAACCTGTTAGGCATGCAGAGTTTTTTTTAGCTAAAAATGGCAACAGATTGTAAATTTATACAAGTTAGTATTATAATGCAAGAAGCTTGAGAAAATATAGTTTGTTTCTTTACTAGTTACAAAAGCTGAGCTTCTCAGAGGACCATGGCTCCCAGTCACAGGTTTACAGTTTTTCTTATTGTACAGACAGAATCAGACTGCAGAGTTTCAAAATAACTTAAAATTTTGTTTCTGGCATCATTATATCAGTAAAGAGGTTCATAAATCTTTTTAAACAGCACAGAGAGAAGCAGGGAGGGCTGCAAATTTAAAGGTGAAACTGATTTACTGGGATATGCAACACGCAATAAAATATATTTCCAAGTTTACCAGAAAGTTTACAAGAAATAAATATGCTATGCTATGATTAATATGCAGCATATCCATTTTTTCTAGATGGTGTTGAAATTGTACTTCTAGAGATGGATGATGTAGGAATTTTGGCATTGGAATCGGCTGTTATTTCTTTATTTATTTCATGCATTCATGTTTTTGAGCCCTGTATATGTAATGCACTAAAAGGCATCTCTCTTATATATCAGTGTATTGTGGTTTTCATGTGTTCTCAACAATTGGAAAGCATCAATAAATATATGTTTCAGTTCATTTCTGTAAAATACAAAAACCTAATGAAAGCTTTCGGTTTGAGTAAGCGTAGCTCCATCAGCCGCCACCCGAGTGTCCCCAGCAACTTTCATTACAAAGTTTCACCCTTGTTTGTATCAGAACAAGAGGAAAATATGGGGGAAAAAAGGGGTTATGGAGATTATGAATGTATAAATTTAACAGATTTCTGAGGAAGAGGAGGAGCTGCTGGTCTGAACAGAAGGAGGAGAATCACAGGATCTCCACCATAACCATTCAGCTCAATCAAAATTAAACAAAACATTTTCGTTTTGTGCAGCTTTCATAACATTTTACATAACATTGCACTTAAAGTGCAGCAGTGATCAAATGTAAACATTGTGGGAGAACAAAACCTGGTGCAGAATATGGTTATTGTGGGGGCTGCTTAGTGGGGCAGTGGGTAGCACTGTCACCTTGCAGCAAGTACATCTGGGTTTGATTCCCGGCCCAGCATGGAGTTTGCATGTTCTCCCTGTTTAATCTCTTATACTGCGCTGTAATTTTTATTCTTGTGTTTTATTTTTATTTGTAATTGTTTCTTCTGTGTTTTATTTTTTTAACTGATTTTATGTAAAGGACTTTGAATTGCACATGCTGAAATGTACTATACAAATAAAGCTGCCTTGCCTTGCCTTGCCTTGC